TTGTCATGTCCTATTAAAATCCTTAAATTCGCAAAAAAATTGTGGCTTACTCATGGGCAAAGAAACTATCCTTTCTCTCAAGTTGGACCAAACTGCACAAGGTGTACAAATTTGATTAAAATTGGTTAAGTAGTTTAGGAGTCCATTCCGGAAAAACCACGTGACACGTAATTTATATATATTAAGATAATAAGCCATGTAGTAAGATAATAAGCGGTGTAAGGATATACACTGCCCCATAATGGATGTCGTAGAGGCAATAGAGGGAAACTAAAACCGAAGATAAGCACCACCATGTTCCTGATACGAAATCAAAATTATAAGGACCACTGTTGCCAAACCGCCTGCCAAGCGTGGAACAAAATCCCTCCTATGAGGGAACATATGGACCTTTTGTGGAGCAATGTACTTTTGTACACAACATACCAAATTTTTGTTTTGTTACACATACAATACAATATGAAAGTGACGAATTCAGTTTATACGATTCAGTATTTTACAATATTAGTGTTTAGTGTCTAACTCTTTTACGTGGTAGAGCCATGTTGCAGTTATATTAGTAGTATAGTCGTAGCACGAATGGGTCGGCTCGACCGCGGAGAGACCACGCTCTCACAGAATACCAGAGTAAAATAGTAGCTTAATGCTGCTGTGTTTCGTATGGTGAGTGTAGAGAATCGGAGACCCTTTTTACTGAAAACGAGGCATTCCATCTTAGTCGTCGCGGGTGATAACGCATCTACATTTTGATAGGTAATGGAGGATAGATGTAGATGTCTATGAGCTACTGCAACCGCTTACCATCACGTGGACTGTGTGCTTGTTTGTCACCCTATCCTATAAAAAAATTAAATTTTTTTCATTAAATTAAATACAGCCTCCGCCAAGAGAACTAAGAAAACACGTAAATTAATTTCATGCATACAGTTTATTTGTAAAAGAAAAAAAAAAGAGTAAATATTATGGAAGCGATTTTCTCTTTTATTGCTTAATGCTCTTTCTTTATTTAAAGTTGTGTGAATTGTAAGTCTCGGTGGTAAATTAAAATTTGAATTTTTTTACAACTACTTTCAGCAAATTTTTATTTTATTTTATCATATAAAAGCTAATGATTAATTGTGCAAGCAATAGAGCAAGCTGAACATCCGCTCTCACAATATTATTATTTTTAATTTATATATGTGAGATAAAATATTTTTCCGGCATTATATATTACGCAAGTATAACGTTTCTACTTCATGAAAATGATTTTCTACGATATTATCTTACAGCTATACCGTACTTTGGATAATCTGAAAATGATTACCAATTAATGCTCTTGGATCAAACTTTCTCTGCCTTCATAAACTTTGTAATTGAGAGACATTTACATGAGTTAATAAGGAGAGATTTACATGAGAGTAAAATGTTCATCGGTAAATTCTCCTAACTAGCATATGACAAAGGGGATTATTTTGAACCGTCGACATTACAATTACTCAAATGGGATTAAATGTTTAGCTAGAAATAGACTGCGTTGTAATATAGGGTGGAAAAAACAAAGGGGCGTGGAGGAAATGTGTGTATATATAAATATATAATACATGTGTCGGTGACAAACACAGGTGACAACTGGATGACATTTATTTATACTTTTTATTTATCCTTGCACTTAATACATATTTTACTCATGTGATCGTTTTGATATTAATAACTACGTCTCATAAATCATGTTCTCATCGTATATACTACAGTATTGACAGAATTGTGTGCTCATGGAATTTGGGCAAACGCCAAAATGCTGTAGCACAATAATCCTTCGTTTGCAAATGCTAATAGATTGATTGCTCGAGGGTTAGTTAATTCTAGATTAAGATTAATTAATTAAGAGGGATAACAACGTGTGGCCGTGGAAGGAAAAGGGGAGATCTCCCGCCGGGCAAGGTGTTCTGCCCGGGGAGCGGCCAACGCACCGTGTGATAGTTCGGAGATGTTCTATATATACTGTTTATGATTCGGAATATTGATAGCGTGATTTAGGCTTCGATGTGTTTCGTTTGCTGCGCGATGACAGCGCCGCCACATCACCCCCCTGCTCAGACCGGAGGTCGATAGTGCAGCCTCGTTGCCGACGAATGTGCAAGTGCCAGTGGATTGCCTTGTAGTCTGCGGTGAGTCGAGAAGAAGGCAAGTAATCTGCGAGAGTGCCATGAAGCAGAGGCGAGCAGTAAGGCTCAGAGCCATGCCTAACACTGTAGCACAGAGTGTAGCTTGAAGGAACAGGAAACATTATTATTCCAGTGCTGTGATGAACCTTGTGAAGTTAGCTGGCTTGCAGGATATGAATACTGCAGACGATATCTGCTCGGGAGCGAATGGGTGGGGTATTCTATGACGATGATGAAGCTTGAAGTTCCCGAAGGTTGTTGGTTGCGTGTTCAGTACACGTCGGGTGGTCACCAATGTGGCCGTGGAAGGAAAAGGGGAGATCTCCCGCCGGGCAAGGTATACTGCACAGGGAGCGGCCAACGCTCCGTGTGATAGTTCGGAGATGTTCTATATATACTGTTTATGATTCGGAATATTGATAGCGTGATTTAGGCTTCGGTGTGTTTCGCTTGCGGCGCGACGACAGCGCCGCCAGAAACGCATCTGGATTTTGATTCTTAATCAATGATATATGTATCGAGAAATTATCGACTACATTAAAACACTATTTGAAGGTATGATTCTGTAATAAAGAACTGACTATAACTTAAAACTTCACACCAAATACATGTTTGAAGTACAACTGCAGTCAAGATATAATATAACCTTCACTATTTTGGAAAAAGCTTATATTTTGAAATCGATCACAACATATTTACTACAACAACCAATTACAATTTCTTACCGGCCTGAGCTGGAGCACATGACGCTGGCAGATCCGAAGCATAATACACCAGGCCAAGTTCATCTGCTGTTAGGCGCTGAAGTCTTGAAGCTGTTTGCCTTCACTCAATCCTGAAACCACGCCGTTGATTCTTATCTTTTTCAAACGCAATGTGTGAACGATATCTTCAGTGACGAATGAGGCTTGTAAACCTTGGTCAATGAAAGTACGATAGACGTGTTTTTAACCCTGACGCAAAGTCACATCAACCAATGCGGTGGCTAATAGTATTTGATTAGTCTGATGTACGAAATGGTATACTATGTTTTGACTTGAGTCTTTATGACAATTTTCTCAAGTACCGTCCCGTGTCAAGTTTTATTGACACGGCACAAGTCCCGTGTCCATAAAGATGACGCGAAATTTTTCTAATTGTTTATTTCTAGTCCAATGTTCATACAAAACGAATCGATTTTTTTCTAAGTGTTTTTGTTTTCACTCGCGAATTTTCTAAGTCCAATGTTCATTCGAAATTATTTTATGTGTTTACACTCGCGAAAGATTTTACAAGTCCCTGCCACTTATTCTCACGATATATTACTCACGGTAACCGAGGCCCAATCCACAACACTGAAATCCATAAGTTTGTGAATACACAACACTTCACTAGTACAGCGCACTATGTCCTATTTCCGTTAACACTTTCCACTGTGCACTCACCTATACGGCTCGAAGGACTTGTTTGTTCCGAGAAATTACCGACTAAATTAAAACACTATTTGAAGTTAGGCCTCGGCCGCACAGCGAATATTCACCGCGCGATTTTTATTCTCGCGATTTTTATTCCGTGATCAAAACGACACGTCTAAAATGGATAAACTGTTTTATTAAATAATTTACTGTCTTGTAGGTATGATTTATCTATTTACATTTTATATTATTGGTGTTACATTTTTTTATGATTGTTGCAGGTACTTGGCTTCAGGAAATAGCTACTATTCACTATATTTCGAATATCTTATTGGCATCTCTACAATTGGCGAAATTATAGAAGAGACGTGCGAGAAATTATGGTCATGTTTACAACCTTTATATATGCCAGAACCAGATGAAAAAAATTAGTGCCTAACTGCTGAACTTTTCTATAAAAGAGCCCATTTTCCACACTGCTTGGGAGCGGTGGATGGAAAACATATAAGGTGCGAAAAGCCTAACTGCGCGGGTTCTGAATTTTATAATTATAATTATCCTTAGTTTTGATGGCGGTAGCTGATGCCAATTATTATTTCATCAGTGTTGACATAGGAGCTTACGGTAGCAGCAGTGACTCTACCGTTTTCAAAAATTCTGTATTTGGTAAGAAGCTTGAAGGTGGTCAGTTAATGTTTCCTTCACCAAGCCACCCGCCAAAAGACGAAAACGGGGAAAAATGCCTTATGTCTTTGTTGGAGATGAAGCGTTCGCTCTCTCAGAACACATAATGCGCCCATACCCGAGAAGAAACCTATCTATAACTCAAAGAGTTTTTAATTACAGACTCACATTAGCAAGAAGATTTGTAGAATGCACATTTGGCATACTTACAAGTAAATGGAGAATTTTACATCGATCTTCAGATGTAAAACTAACAAGTTGTGACCAAATAATTAAAGCATGTTGCATTTTACATAATTACGTACGGAAACATGATGAAATTAGGTTTGAAGACAAACTGTATGGAAACAAGTTGCACAGTTTACGCCCTACTCTAGTGAGATCTAGAATATCCAGCATTGAAAATAGACAACATTTTCCAGAATATTTTGATTCAACGAAAGGGTCAATTTCGTGACAGTATGATAAAATATAAATAATCATATACTTAACTGTAAGATTAGACCATAGGTGTGGGCTAATTAAAAAAGAACAAACCAGAAATAAAAAAAGAAACTGTATCTACTCTATGGTTCTAGACAATGGCGGCTCTGTTATAAACGTGTTCTAAATAAATGTGCAAAGTTAATTTTTGACAATACAGAAGATATCTGAAGAAATCCTGGTTTTATTCGACACCCGTCCCACATAAACTACACATAGACCAACAAGAAATACTTACCTACAATAATTATTGTCAACTTGTAAACTTATTATAATAATAAACTATTTTAGTTTACTTACCTTTTTGCTTTCTTTCACCAACACTATATTGTTCCCAAGTAAAATATATCTGTTGATATATTTCCTCCCACAATCTCGCTTTCAATATTCTGTCGTGGTACTTTGGGTCAAATTTGTCCCATAGAGCATTCTTGTGCATCAGTGCGATTAATTGCTCTATATCAATGTTGTCATCTTCTGGTAGCTCCTGCGCGCCTGCCGATCTGGCGGGAGATGAAGCGCGCGACATCTTGTCAGCAGCGTTGTCAGTGCACGACAGACGCGCGAAACCCGCGAATTTTATTTCGCAGTGCGGCCATAGTCATACTACTTCATACTGCACAAAACATTCGTGCGGAAATAAATCCGCACCGCATCGCGTAACGCCCTGTCCGCACTGCGATATTTCACCGCACGTTTTTATTCTCGCAATTCTGTAACACATTGAATCTTATAGGAGTATCCGCACTGGCGGTAAAAAAATCACGCGGAAAAAAAATCTGTGATTTGATGCAAATTGAACGCGATGCGGCGCGGATTTATTTCCGCGCGAATGTTTTGTACAGTATATAGTAGTTATGGCTATGGCCGCACTGCGAAATAAAATCCGCGCGTTTCGCTCAGTCGTGTACTGGCGCTATTGGCAGGATGTCGCGCGCTTCGTCTCCCGCCCGATCGGGAGCCGCAGAGGAGTTAGAAAATGACGACATTGATATTGAGCAATTAATCACGTTGATGCACAGGAGACCTCCCCTGTGGGACAAATTTAATCCAAAGTACCACGACAGAATATTGAAGGCGAGATTGTGGGAGGAAATATATCAAGACATATATTTTAGTTGGGAACAATGCAGTGTTGTTGAAAAAAAAAAACAAAAAGGTAAATATGAAGTATTTTTTTTTAATTTAATGACGTTTACAAATTAAATATTTTTATTTATAACCTTTGATTATATACTTACATGTCTAGATTGAGCAATGCAAACAAACTTCGCGCAAAAACCGGCCCGAATTACGTGATATGTGTGAGTACCGCTCGTGTACTTATTGTAGTCAAACTGTCAAGATGTGCGTGTTTAGGGATACTTGCTCCAAATTATTAACTTAACTTTTCCCCATTATTTAATAAGGTGTAGTTTAAATAAAATAGGTTAAATAAAGTAACTATTTCGTAGATTAGTGTTTTTATTTAATTTAGTAAAAACAAAAAATATAAACATAATTACAAATATTTTTCTTTTAATTTTTTTAAACAAACAAAATCTTATAAGTACTACTGCATCTTTTTATGATTTACAAAGATAAATAAATAAATATTAAAATAAAATATTTTTATTCATTAACAAAATGTTTAAAAATTACAAAAAGATGTAATGATATTTATAATGTGTCTCCCATAGTTTCGCTAAGTTTCCCTAATATTAAACTGGCAACACAAGCTAATCAGACTAACCTAAACAGTAACGAATTAAAAAACTGTGTTTTCTTAAAATAAAGTAGTTAAATAATATAATTTACTTCTTTACTTCCCACGTAATTGCGATACAATTTGATAGCACAAACCGGCATAATTAATTATTTTTCGTGAGCTTATTATCCATAGGTGACTCAAATGACACTGGCGTAGGTGAGAAGCGAGTCTACCAGTAATTATAGTAGACTTTTTTCGAGCCGTTCGGTACGGTCAATGTGTCCATTTAGACATGTATATAATCAAAGATTTTTTGTTGGTCTGTAGTTTTATATAGAATATATACCTATAATATGGGTAGACGTTTATATTTTATATTTTTTCATATTGCCATGGAATTGACCCTTTCGGTGGATCAAAATATTCTGCAAAATATTGTCTATTTTCAATGCTGGATATTCTAGATCTCACAGGAGTAGGGCGCAAACTTTGTAACTCGGTCCCATACAATTTGTCCTTAAACCGAATTCCATCATGTTTGCCTACGTAATTATGTAAAATGCAACATGCTTTAATTATTTGGTCACAAGTTGTTAGTTTTACATCTAAAGCCCGATGTAAAATTCTCCATTTATTTGTAAGTATGCCAAAAGTGCATTCTACAAATCTTCTTGCTAGTGTGAGTCTGTAATTAAAAACTCTTTGAGTTACAGATAGGTTTCTTCTGGGGTATGTTCGCATTATGTGTTCTGAGAGAGCGAACGCTTCATCTTCAACAAAAACATAAGGCATTTTTTCCCCATTTTCATCTTTTGGTAGGTAAGTTGGTGATGGAAGTATTAACTGACCACCTTCAAGCTTCTTTCCAAATGCAGAATTTTTAAAAACGGTAGAGTCACTACTGCTGCCGTAAGCACCTATGTCAACACTGATGAAATAATAATTTGCATCAGCCACCGCCATTAAAACTAAGGAATGATATTGTTTATAATTATAAAATTCAGAACCCGCGCCATTAGGCTTTTCGCACCTTATATGCTTTCCATCCACCGCTCCCAAGCAATGTGGAAAATGGGTTCTTTTATAGAAAAGTTCGGCAGTATGGGACCAAGTTCTTTCATCTGGTTCTGGCATGTATAAAGATTGTAAACAAGACCATAGTCTTTCACACGTGTCTTCTATAATTTCACCAATTGTAGAGATACCAATTAGATATTCGTAATATAGCGAATATTAGCTATTTCCTGAAGCCAAGTACCTGCAATAATTACAACAAAATATGTAACACCAATAATATAAAATTCAAACAAATTATAGTTTATTATTTATCTACACAACAATTACCTTATTTTATTTTCTTTTACAGGAGCTGATGTGCAAAAAAAAATGGAAAAATCTTAAAGATACATACTTCAAGGAGGTGGCAGCTGATAAAAAGGTAGTTTCGGGTCAAGACGCAAAGAAAAAAAAAGACCATACATACACATGGGAGCACTTTCATTTTTAGCCACTCAAAAATCAATGAGAGATACGACAAATAATATTAAAGACACAGAAAGCACTAACAGTAATGCCGAAGACCTTACAAATCAATCCAACGAAGATACTGACACAGAAGCTTCACGAAATAGAAGACTTAAAACGAGCATGCGTAAAAAGACTAAAATTCAGAATAATAGCGATGATGAGTTATTGAAATTATTGCAGGATAAAACTTATGATGAGGATGTTTCATTTTGTGAAATGATCATACCAATGCTCAAGAATCTCTCAACAGACCAGAAACATTACGCTAAAATTGAAATTCTGAATGCACTTAACAGAGCAACTAAATATTCACCACAAAATTTTATACCGCCTAGAGTCAGATCCGCTATGTCTCAATATCAATCATCATCATCATCGTATTCATCTTACAACCCAAATACGCCATCGCCCTACCCAAATACTATCCGTCAATCTCCTTCTCCCCAAATTTACCAATACCCACCATCTTTTCCTCAATCTCCGCCTGATCCGTCTCCTCAAACACAATACACACCATCTCGTAATTCAACTGTCATTCCTCAATCTCCACCTGATCCGTCTCCTCAAACCCAATACACACCATCTCGTAATCCAACTGTCATTCCTCAAACTCCGCCTGATCCGTCTCCTCAAACCCAATACACACCATCACGTAATTCAACTGTCATTCCTCAATCTCCGCCTGATCCGTCTCCTCAAACCCAATACACACCATCTCGTAATTCAACTGTCATTCCTCAATCTCCGCCTGACCCGTCTCCTCAAACCCAATACACACCATCTCGTAATTCAACTGTCATTCCTCAATCTCCGCCTGATCCGTCTCCTCAAACCCAATACACACCATCTCGTAATTCAACTGTCATTCCTCAATCTCCGCCTGATCCGTCTCCTCAAACCCAATACACACCATCTCGTAATTCAACTGTCATTACTCAATCTCCGCCTGATCCGTCTCCTCAAACCCAATACACACCATCTCGTAATTCAACTGTCATTCCTCAATCTCCGCCTGATCCGTCTCCTCAAACCCAATACACACCATCTCGTAATTCAACTGTCATTCCTCAATCTCCGCCTGATCCGTCTCCTCAAACCCAATACACACCATCTCGTAATTCAACTGTCATTCCTCAATCTCCGCCTGATCCGTCTCCTCAATCCCAATACTCGCTGTCAAATTTTCCAAATACTTCATTTAATCATTCTACATTCGTAGTAGAGGGGAGTGGTTTTGACATGAAAGATTATATTTTATTTAAATAAAAGTTACATTGCTTATAAATAAATGATGCTGTATGATTAAACCTTGCTTTTATTTACCTCCGTCAGTTATTAAATATACTTTGGAATGTTACAATATCAAATGGGGGGATAAATTAAGAGAACGTGAAAATTTAAAATAAATGGTATTATCAGCGCCAAAATGACAGAGATGCATTAAATACATCTAAGCATTTGATAAAAATCAAACTGAGCTCAAAGAAATTAGGGTGCACTTTCAATTGTTTCGAAGAAACAATCAAAAGAAAGGTGCTCTTTCTTTTAATAAGATTGACTTTTATAAAATGCTTAGATATATTTTAGCTTACACTGCTGTGCAGGCTGTACCTAGTACCTATAAGAATGGAACATCTTACCTTAGAGTTATCGAGAGTCTCTCTTCAGCTGAAATTGCTTTTCTCCAATTCGTATCTTGATAGGTAATAGCCCTACCAACTAGTCGTAGTAAATTATCGAATGATTTTGTAGTCATTCTGTAATATCCGAAAAACTTTTTATTATATTCTCGCAGCTCTTGATATTTTATGTAGAAAAATCCTTTAGGTCTCAAGGCCGTAAATGGGTGAATCCAATGTTCATGACATCTTACGATAGGTTTGTCACGCCGCCGCCGCCGTAGTATCAGGTAAATTAAAAATTTTCTTTTATTCATTTTAGACGTTCGTCTCAATCGGGAACTGCATCGAACTGACAAAAATCTTACGAAATTTTATTCGCAGTGCGTAATAAGTGTAATTCCGATCACGGAATATAATACGCGAGAATAAAAATCGCGCGGTGAAATATCGCAGTGTGGACAGGGCCTAAAATTTACATCAAAACACAGATTTTTGGTGATTTTTTTTCGCGCGAATTTTATACCGCCAGTGCGACTACACCTATTGTATTGAATGTGTTACAGAATTGCGAAAAAAAAATCGCGGGGTGAATATTCGCTGTGCGGACGAGACCTAACTGTACTTTTAAAAACAGCAATATTATGGTACAGAAAAATCGCTTGTATAGCGTGAAGTGAAGTGTGACAATCAGCGCCATCTGTTAGTCGAAGGTAAAATCAAAACATTAGATTTAGATGTATATGGGCCACAGTATCTACTAACCATCGTGGACGTGGACTAATTCTCGTTTATACTCGTTGAATACCCGTTTGTCACTTCATTTTTATATATAAGAAAACGAGGAAAAATATTAAAACAATAAAACGGGGAAAATCACTTAAATGTTATAAACAGTTTTTTAGTTGCTTGCGGGGATATAACTAGGGTTAACTATTAAATTTAAAGAAAACGCCGAGTTCTTGAGCTACCATAGCTGGAACAATGAAAATATAAAATTAATACATATATAATACATATCGAGTCTGACGAAAAATGTATTAATTTTTATTTTATTCTTCTGTCATATTGCGCTGGAATTCAATCTGCAATAGCATCAGGCCTAAATAATTTTTTACGCTATGCTACGAATGTCATTTGCGAATGCGACAAACCAATGATCGGGGTATTACTCATTTGTTTAGTAATACGAGTATCTAACAATAATTATAAAAAAAGTTGTCACACATTGTTGCATAATTTCTACTTATGAATCTGCATTTAAGTAATACTTAAGCTTTCAGTAGCTTTTAGAGAACCGGATACCCTTTTTACTTTTTTTATTTTCATTTTGATTCGTTATCAAGTTTTCGTACATCTATAGTTATACACACACAGCAACCACTTACCATCAGGTGGACTGTGTACTCGTTTGTCACCCTATCCTATAAAAAAACCGTCTTTAAAAACAAACAACTAGAATGTCGTCTAAATAGTTATATTTAAAATATTCATCCCTTATTTTTAAAACCTAAAGGATGGTAAGTTTTCCTTAAGTGTATAAGGGACCACCCTTAAAATAATCTGTTTCATAAAAATTATTTAATCTGGTACAATTTTATCCGAGAAATAGGTGAACCATAAAAACCATACACGTCGAATGTAAAACTTTTCCGTTTTTTATCTCTACTAATAATTACTTTTTTCATATTTTAACTTTTTTAACCATCAAATATAAAGATTATTAGACATTTTTTTGTCATAATTATTATCATTTTGATTTATCAGCTTTTAGCTTTTTTAATTAAATATTTCAACAAGAGTATTCATTTTATAGTAACTTTTTTAATATTTATTTTAAGAATATTTGGATTATGTAATTCTTTCATATGTTGCTAGATTCAGTTCTGAGATAGTAGAGAAGTGATCTCTCTAGAGAAGAGATCACCCCTATGTGGCAATCCATGGCGGAGGCCTATTTCAGCAATGGACATCTGAAATACTTTAATGATGAAAATGATGATAAGAATTAAAAAAGCAAAAAAAGTTAAAAAGTACTGCAACGTCGCCTTATGCTGTTTCGGGCGGAAATACTCACATAAATACCTGCCAAAATCTTATAAATAAAATTAAATTTACGACATTTACTACGTTATCTAAACATGATTCAGAATTTATAAGTAAATAGACAATGTGTTTATGTATCGTCACGTTTGTGTATGCGTTCATAAAATTTGTTGATATTACATTTTTCCCTCGGTTTTATGTTTGGGTTGGATTAAGGTATAAGTCGTTTACTGAAGTGCCGATATTTTTAACCTTCCCAGAATCCCTAAGATAATTGTAAAATTAAACTCTTCCTATGTTAAACGTAACAAGGATTTTTATAAAGAAATTAGCATCTTCCTGATAATCTTTACTGTTACTGTATATTAAGGTCCACTGCTGAACATAGGCCTCCTGTAGTTCTTCATCCTGAACTATAATCGTAATGGATAGTAAATTTTTTGGGATGAAATTGTGAACCACTGTGAACGAAGCCCCATTTTTAGGGTTCCGTAGTCAAATAGGAACCCTTATAGTTTCGCCATGTCTGTCTGTCCGTCTGTCCGTCCTCGCTTAATCTCTGTGACCGTTAGCACTAGAAAGCTGAAATTTGGTACCAATATGTGTATCAATCACGCCGACAAAGTGGTAAAATAAAAATTGGAAAAAAATGTTTTATTAGGGTAGCCCCACTATATGTAAAGTGGGAAGTGATTTTTTTTTTAATTTCAATCCTAACGTGTGATATATTGTTGGAAAGGCATTTAAAAATTAATAGGGGCTTACTAAAATCATTTTTTTGATAATGTCAATAATTTTGGAACTAATCGCTCCAAAAGTAAAAAACAATGTATCCCCTCCCCTCTAACTTTTGAACCATAAGTTTAGAAAATATGAATAAATCTGAAAAGTAGAACTTTATAAGGACTTTCTAGGAAAATCATTTTGAACTTGGATGGGAACACCCACCCACTATCGGGAGCAGTTGCAGGAGCGCGGAGCGCTGCTGGAGCGCGAACATAATGGATACCCACCTTTAAACTCATAAGTGGGAATGTGACGGACGGAAAACTACGGAACCCTACACTGAGCGTGGCCCGACACGCTCTTGGCCGGTTTTTTTCTACAAATGCCAAACACACTCAAATGTGTTGCCTCCTGGTGTTTAAGGAACGAGTCGAGACGACTAATGACGGATAATCAGTATCAAAACTACACAAATTGGCGATGGAGAGCAGTATTACCAGTACGAGGATATCGGCATTGCGCTATCTAAGCCGTCTGCCAAGTGAGGTGAGTATAGGTAAATCGTATAAGAAATGTATGCCTTGAATAAGGCTACGCAGACTTTTAATAGGCTATGACGGTAACGGTGATTTTTTTTAAATGAGTTCTTATAGTACAAGGAAATCCCCGCCTGCCCTGGATTATAAGCGTCTTCCTTGTCTATTTTTTGTGTCGTAGTGCCTTAGCCCCGGATTTGAATCTCTGGCCGTTTATTAGGTTTTCTGATAAATAACTCTACGTAGCAGCCCGAAGTGCCTTAGATAGCGCATAGTCCTTCACCTAATCTCTCTTTCTCTGATCGTGTCAGACTTCAGTACTATCTGACTATGAGTGTGAGGAAATAGAGCGTATGTACCTGTGCACTATAATCCAGTATTGTGCAGATGGTTAGTCTTCGTTGAGAATGGCTGCTGTGATCGAAATTTTTGATTTGGAGTGAAAATTGTAAAAACTTACATTAATATTTGCCGTTGCGTTACATTATTAATTTAGTTTCTTAGACATTTTTTAATCGGTTTAAATACCCGGTTCAATAAAGATACTGTGGCTTGGAAACTTAGAGACAAAAACTTCTGGCAATGGACGTGTAAGAACAGCCAATGATTGGATCGCGTTTAAACATTTGCTTTGCAATTGTTCCCATTTTACAATCTACACTCAATTTCGATTACGGCCGGCAAGTGTTGATCGCCCCACAACTCAAGATGAGTAAACATTTGTTAGACTTTTAATTCAAAACTTTTGTAGGTTCAATTTATTGATTATTTGTGTAATTAGACAAAATATTAGATAATATTTTTCTAGATAGTAGGACTCCTTTTCTACCTATAAGTCCATCGGGGTAGGTAAGAGGGTAGTTTTACCTGTTTCTACCGTCAAATGGTAGTGCTCCGGTCTAAAGGATGGATGTTTTACGCCGCCACCATATGACAACTAAATATAAATTCCAATTTTGTCAAGTGAGGGTCTAGAGACATACATTTATATAAATTAATAAACTCGTCAAATATTCTATTGAGCTTCATTGACTCATTCCAACTTAGTCCTTAGAAGTAACAACGCTTTCTTTGTTTGAAGTTAGCTGCAGGTGTCCATGGATTACAGTACCCACTTATCATCAGATGTAAGTAAGCTCATTTGTTACTGTAATTTATAAAGATTACATTAAAATTGTTATATTGAATAAAGTACGCTGTAAACAGCGTTTACAAGAATAGTCAGCAACGACATTAAATATCTTCTCTTCTTTTCTTCACCATCGCCGCCAATTGAAGACACAAAGAATATATTATACTAGTTAGTTATAAAATAAAACAGTAGAGAATAGGTCACAGA